TACTCTGCCCTCCCAAAATAGTGATTTTTATAGATTGATTTTATTTTAACTCAACTTTCCAATCAGTTCCAAAGGAAGCCTGCAATGTTTCATAATATATCAATATTCATATGCAGTATCCAAAATAGTTACAGGATCATAAAAAGACTAAACCATGTAGTTTTCAATATGACATCCTCTTAATCAATCCCAATTTACACATAGCATGGGATTACCATGTTGCTTGAATGTCGCAGATTTGGTCTAGTAGAATACCGACTGTAGTACATGTCAGTGTACAGTCAAATGGAGTTAATCTTTCCACCAGACTGATCCAGTGTCCTCAACAAGCAAACAGTGCTGCAGGCAGTCCCACCACTGGTCAAACACAGCTGATGTGAGACTACATTTTGTTCTGCTTTCATTGGAATGATTACAGCAGCATGATGTCACAGTAGTTATTATTCTTGTACTGGGGCCAGAGGTTCAATTCTTAGGGTGTTATTAACATGGAATTGAGTTTATGTTCTGCGTATGTTTGCGTGGGTTTCCTGTGGGTGCTCTGGTTTTCTTTCATTGTCCAAAAACATACTGGTGGGTTAATTGGCTTCTGAGTATCCTAGGCGTGAGTGTGTGTGTGTGCTCTGCGATGGACCAGTGTCCTTTCCAGGGTGTAGCCTGCCTTGTGCCCAATGCATGCCAGGATAGTCTCTGGATCCCACACAGCCCTGAATTGGAAAAAGCAGTTACAAAATGGATGGATGGATTTTATTTGATGCTATTTTTGCCTCTGCAGTCTACTGTTCTAATCTGTGTACATAAAGACACATGGTTAGACTTAGAAGTTTGATGTAGAGAATTTTACACACATGCAAAATAAAATGAGCAAAATCACAAGTGTCTATACACAATTACAAATCCCACTACAAATTCTATTTCCATTATTTCCATTATGCAGCTCCCCACAGAAGGAAAGAAAAGAGATGTTTAAATTTTCAGATTATATATATACAGTAGAGTACATGTACTACAAAGTTTACAGTAACACAAATTTTTCAAAACAATGAATAAAGAAGTTCTCCTGTGAGCTTCTGCAGCATGCCCAGAGTTCTTGCTGTTGATTAGCTTCAGGAAGAAGATGTGCTGACTCATCATTCTCTGTCTTGTTTGTCTCTCTCTGAAAAATATACAACATACAATACAAAGAAGTATGGTATAAATTC